CTGGCTCAGAGAAGACCCTCAATAAATGTTAGTATATGAATGGATAGATGGGATCAATGATGAAGGAAACAGTGAATTAAAAAAAAAAATCAATGTAAAATCTAAAACACAAGGCATTTAAGGTCCTCACAGACAGGGTGCCTTGTTCCAGTGTTGGTTTGGCGCTTAGATTAACTCTGTTACATCGAGTCACTGCCCAGAACCAAGGGTTAGGGTTTACCCACGGGGAAACTTTGGAGGACAATTTCTATAGCTTAAAGTCTTTAAAAAAAAAAATCATGAAACAGTGTTTATTTGCGTTTCACACTTTGCAAGCTCGCACATATGCTCAAGAGAGCAAATATATTTTGGGTTTGAATACTTAAAAGACTCATGTTCGGTGTTTTACCATTGAAAGAGTGCTGAAATGGTTCATTGAGAGAAATTACTCAATTAATGGAAATCATTTTATTAGTTGGAGTTTCACAAACAGTGCTTCTTTCTTGCCCCAGAAGCTGAAAGTGTACAATAGCCTCAATTCCACACCAAGCTGTCTCTGCCCATTGCTATTCCAGAGGGGCAAGTACTGCCAGCTTCCTCCATCTCAGACTATTAACGGACACCAGCATGAAAGCTTTTTCTTAGAACTGATGCAAGTCCTGTATGAGCCTTTCCACAAGGCTGGCTTGAAACTCAAATGCTCAATTTGCTAAGGAGAAATATCCTTTTCAGCATTCTGAAAGCAGATTTCTAAGCAGCCTACTTCAGACATTATGAGGACTTGACATGGACTCTGCTCTCTGTGAGACACAGAAATTATAATTCGTCTTCCCCTACTCTCATCAAAGCTGACACTGAAAAACAACATTTGAGGTTTTATTTCACATACTTAACTCATACACAACAGAGTATTAACTTCAGATTAATTATCTACCAGACTATGAACTCTTTAAAGCTGGGGATGGTGTCTGTGCATCTTTCTACCTACAGCATACTGAGCATATCAAGCCTGGTGAATCAATTTATAAAAGTTTCCATAATCCATGCTGTGTTTAGTAATGAGTGTGTCTATAAAATGCTCATAACAGTTTTCTGTTTACTAAAATGTATTATATATCTTCAGTTTTGTAAGTATGGCTGAGTAAGTTCCTAACAGGCTGACTGTCTCTAGGTAAACAACTATAAATTCTCAAACGCTGAACAAAATACAAAAAGCAAACATCTAAAGCCTCTGCAGAATGCTCAAAAACAAGGAGGTTCTACAAGGGAGTCAAGACTTGGAAGAAGGGAATGGCTGGGTGAATTCACTGATTGCAGAGCTTTTAGCTGCGTAGCAGAGTTTGAGGCAACCATAGTGCTGAAATGTGTGGGAGGACTACTAGAAATGAGAGTTAGACTTGAGGAGCCCCAAATTTTGTGTATAAAATCTGTCAGTCATGTATGCCAAAAATAAACGCAAAAGTCAAACTGAGAAGTAAACTGAGTTCTGCACTCCTATCCGACAGAGTCTGCATCTGAATCCAAAAATATCAACACCCCTCAAAGAAACATAACAGAATCCAATTTCCACAGTATAACACAATGTCCAGTATACAATCCAAAATTACTCAACATATAAAAAATAGGAAATATATGACATTATCAAGATAAAAGAGTATCAATTCACATCAAATCTAAGATGACTAAGATTTTAGAATTAGAGACTTTAAAGCACCTATTTTAACTGTGCTCAATTACACAAGATAATATAACACCTGCAATAAATGGAAAATCCCGGCAAAGAAAAAAACATGTTTCCAAATACATATATTTATATATGAATCACATATAAACTCTGAAACAGATAAGTATAATACCTGATACAAAAATTTTATCTGATAGGCTTTACCAAAAAAATAAAGATAACATAGGAAAGAGTCAATGAGTTTAAGATACAGCAGCAGAAATGATCCAAACTGAAGAAGAGGGGGAAAAAACTAATAACAAAAGTGAACAGAGTCACAGGAATCTTTTCGAGAATATCAACAGGTTGAAAGTACCTGTAATTAGAGTCTCAAAGGGCGGGGAGTGAAAGGATCAGAAAAAGTATTTAAAGAAGCAATACCTGAAATATTATGATGAAATGGACAAATCCTTTGAAATACACAAAACAATTTTCACAAAAGATGAAATAGAAAATCTGATTAGTGCCTTGTCAATTAAAGACACTGAAGAACTTATATTTGATTCATATAAATATATGTATTTGAAAAGAGTTTTTCACCACCAAACTCCAGGCCCCAGACAGCTTCACTAGTGAATTCTATCTAATAATAAAGAAAACAACAGCACCAAACTGACATGCATTCTTTTTTTTTGGGGGGGGGAGGGAAAGAACACTTCTGTGTGTGTGTGTGTGTGTGTGTGTGTGTGTGTGTGTGTGTGTGTGTATAAATTATAGGCCACTATCACTCATGAATACAGATGCATTTGAATCCAACAATGTATAAAAAGGTTTAACCCAAGAATGCAAAACTGGTTTAATTTAGCCAAATCAATCAATAAAATTCACTATATTAACAGTATAAAGGAGAAACATCCTGTGTTCATTTCAATAGATGCAGAAAAGGTATTCAACAAAGTTCATCACCCAGTCAGGATCAAATCTCTCAGCAAAACTAAAATAGAAGAAAACTTCCTCTACCAGATACAGGTCACCTACAAAAAAAAACCTCACAGCTTTACCATGCTTAATGGTAAAATACTGAATGTTTTCCACATTGCCTGAGAACAAGAGAAAACTGCCTAACGTCACCACTTGTATTCAAGCATTATACTAGAGATCCTAGCCAATACAATAATAAGATAATAAAAAGCATAAAAATTGGGAAGAAAGAAGTAAACTGTTTATGCAGATGATACGATTATGTACATAGCATATTCTAAGGAATCTATAAAACAACTTGCTAGAACAAGTGAATTTATTAGCAAGGTAGCAGAATACAAGGTTTATACTAGAGGCAAAAGGTTAGAGTAGAGGCAAAAAAACTGGAAAATAAGATTTCAAAATACTTTACAAGAGTGTTCAAAAAACATGAAACACTTAGGAATAAGTTCAACAAAAGACAAGACCTCTACCCTAAAAAGTACAAAACACTACTGACAGAAATTAAAAATCTAAATGGAAAGATATACCATGTTCAAGGAAGGGAAGACTTAATATTGTTAAGATGTCAGAACTCCCTAAACTGATCAACAGATTCAATGCAACTGCAATCATAATCCCAGCAGAATGTTTTGTGAAAATAAAACAATAAATTTATATAGAATTGCAAAGGATCTATATGCGAGCAATCCTGAAAAAGGACAAAGTTGAAGGGACTACATTACCTAACTTCACGTCTTACTATAAAAAGCAACAGTAATGAAGATGGTAAGGTACTGGCATAATGATCCATAAATAGATCAATGAAGCAAAACAGAAAATACAGAAATAGACCCTCACTTAACACAGTCATCCAGTTTCCAACAAAGATGCCAACACAATCCGTGGGAGGAAAATATCTTTCAGCAAATGGTACTGAAAAAACTGGATATCCATAGGAAGAAAAAATGAATTTTGACTGTCTTTCTCACACCATACACAAAAACTAATTTGAGATGTATCACAGACGTAAAATTAAAAGCTATAATGGTAAAGCTTTTAGGGGAAACACAGGAGACTATAACTTATAAAGGACTCTAACATTTCCTTGAGGTTGGCAAAGATTTCTTAGTTGACAGAAGGTAAAATCATAAAAGAAAAACTTGATACATTAGACGTCATCAAAATTTAAAACTTCTGCTTATCAAAAAACTCTGTTAAGAAAATAATAGGCAAGCCACAGACTGAGTCAAATATTCACAAAACGTATATCCAACAAAAGATCTGTAGCCAGGATATATTAAAAAAAAAGCTCCTACAACTCAATGATAAGAAGACATACAGCCCACTCAGGGAGCAGCAAAAGATCTAAAAAGAGACTTCAAAATTGAAGATATATAAATGGTCAATAAGTGCATGAAAAAGTACACAAAATCATTAATCAACAGGGAAATGCAAATTAACACCACAAGAAAACACCAATACCCTGTCAGAATGGCTACAATTAAAGAGACTGACAACATCAAATATGGATTTAGATATATGGAGCAACCACAACTTTGCATGCACTGTTCTAGAAATGTCACAAATACAACCACTGTGGGAAAAAAATTATGGCAATTCATTATAAAACTAAATACACAGCAATTTGAACCCTAAATATTTACTAAAAATAAATGAAAACGTATGGTAACAAAATGTACGAAAAGGTTCCCAGAAATTTAATTATAATAACCCCAAACTGAAAACTGCCCAGGCAAATGGATAAATACATTGTGGTATTTTCAGGTACTGGATTATTGTTCTGCAATCAAAAGAAATTAACTACTAATATATACAACAGTATGCATAAATCATGTACATGGACACTCAGAGGAAAGAAAAAAGAAAAGCAGAGTAAAAAGATGATCAATTTAGGCCAAATGTGAGATGATCAAGATTTTAGAATTAGACTTTAAAGCACCTATTGTAACTGTGCCAAATGTCATAAAATAACACTTGCAGTGAATAAAAATCAAACTTTTTTCTAGAATAATTAGGGAATATTTTAAGCATTTATGTGCCAAACCCTATGGCCAAGCATTTAACATGGATAATCTTATTTCTTATCAATCCAACCTTATCTTACAAACAAAGAAACTACAGCAGGAAGAAGTTGAACAGGCTGTCCAAAGTCCAAAATGTAACTCAGAAGAATAAATTTTAGGGTTCCGCAACTCACGCCAAACAGGAGGGACAGAATCACCAAATAAGGTTTCACCTGATTGTAAAAGTATGTGTGTTGGGGCGTCGTGCTAAGGGAGAACACCTCAAGAACACACCAAACAGAACGTAAACAGAGCGTGCGCTCCCCTGTGATAAGCTCTGACACACCTGCAGTGCAGGCTCACGGTCTTACCTTAGGGAACTGTTTTACAGGAATCAACACTTTCTGTCCCAGCTTCATGTTCTTATTAATCACCACATCAATGTACTTTTCTTCGTCCTTGCCTTCTCCTTTGTGAAACTTTTCTATTTCTGTGGAAGAAAAACAGACAACTGTGAAGTGTCTGACTTAGAACTCCACAGGCTGGGGGTTCTCCTTAGCTCTACGGTGGCAAGAAACCCAGTACAGAATATGGACTTCAGATGGCTACAGTTTTTTCAAGTAATGACATATGTCCCATTGTCTGGATGATTCTCCACCAGTACAGCGGGAAAACGCACACACCAGGGCACTACAACCTGAAATCTCAATCGCCCAAGCTAATGGAAGGGAACAAACACAAACATAAAAATAGATTCTTTGGGGCCTTTTGGAATCCTAGGAAAAGGCCGATCAAATGGCAAAGAAAAGCCAGAGACTATTCTCAGCTCACCGTTACCAAGCACCAACATCCCTATTTATCAAACCCCGCCTGGCTCTCCAAGGCGTTTCCCATCAAGAATGGGTTCTCCAAGATGGCCTTAAAAGCCCTGGACAACCTTCTGTCAGTCGACCTCCCCAACCAAATCCTCCCTCCTCACAAGTGACAAGCCCAATTACAAGCTCATGGCTTTGTTAATGCTCTTGTCTCTTCTTGTGATGTTATTCTGATGATTTTAATGTCACATATCTCCTTCGAGATTCAACCACATTAAATACTACCTTTTATGTGTTACGGTCCCTTTCCTCAACTGGGCAGCAGCAGCAGCAGTGGGAAACTCAGTCCCTCCCACCACGATACTCACAAAGCACTTCATGCACAATGCTACTACCATTTCTAGCTTAGCTCTGCAGCTTCCGACCAAAGCTTCTAAAAATAAAGATAATTACTAAGTCTCCAAATGAGCTGATCATTTTGTTTCCTTTCTTGTATTATCCTAAGTTTTGATCCTGTAACACTGATCATTCTATATAGAATCTGCATGGGAACAATATACACTGAAACAGAAGTATGTGAAATGTAAACGTTTACATAGATAATTCTTGTTATTGTTGCTGGAAAAAATTCTTCCAGGGTACTTTTAATTTTGACATCTTTCTATAAAAATAAAATATACATATGGTGAAAAGTTAAAACAGTATCATAGAATATAAAAGTAAAAGAAAGTTTCTCCTATACCCATACTCCAGAGGTAATAATAAAGAATGTTATATACTCTTTCAGAAATTTTCCATGGATAAATCAGCACACAGGCATGCACATATACAATCTGTTTGAAAATTGTAGAACTAATGGTGGATATGAGCTAAATTAGCTTTGTTTTCCTCAGTAAAAAGCAATAAGTCACATGTCACCTGCTCCACTGACTTCAGCTTTAATCAGTAGAAGAAAACAAATTCCACATTTTATTTTTATTTATCCATTTATGCTATAATTGGGAGTACCTTTAGCGAGTTAGAAGATTTAACAAAATTAGGTACACTGAAACTTACCAGAAAAAAGGATTTTTAATGTTATGTATACATTTGTCAAAATATCTAACTACCTATCTTTTTAAATAACAAAGCATTTTTATAATTTTGAGAACTTAGATGCATAATTTAATATTTAATTCCCTAATCAGCACTCAAAATGTTATTCCTTGCACCAGTGACGTTTAACATTTGAAGTAACATGGAAAGTCATAAAGGTAAGATTAAAAAATTAGAAAAAATTATATATTTTACCATATATTAAAGTTTGAGATATGTCTATGATTTTAAAGAGGAAAGTAAAATTTAAAAGAAAAAATATATAGAATACCTCATTTCCTCTCCAGTCAACTTTGCAAATCTTATATTGCTAAAATACCTAGTTGTTACATTAAGTAAGCTTTGAAATATGATGAAATATAATATTTCACTGTTTAAGATTTATTTAAGAAAAAAGTTTAAAGCCCGATGTCATGTTAAAGCATGTAGGTCTGCATGTACTGGACCTAACACACCACATAGCAATGGAAAGAGCCCCATTCCTGTCACTGGCATCAAACAGATCTGGTTTTCAGCACAGCTCAGGCCCCTGTGACCTCCTGTGGTAACATTCAAAACTGCTCAAAACTTCTGTTTTTTTAGGCGTTGTTCAATCAACAATTTTGCATTTTCTGCTTGATTGAAGATTATAAGTAGGTTGATGTTTTTATGAAGTCCAATAAAGTAATATGCAAAGTAACAGAAGTGTACAAGATGATTTAATGAAATCTTGAAACTGTCCCTAACTGGGAGTTTCATATTCTAAAACTCAGGCTACTACCCCTCCGGTCTTCCTTAGGGAAGGGAAGGCACTGGACACCTACCAAGGTGGATTTAACCTTTTAGTAAATTGGAGCATATGAAGGTCAACCATAGAAAATCCAGCCAGATGTTCAAGGTGGAACACATAGGGGATCTGACTTTCACTAATCCCTAGATTACATTTGTTACATACAGTTTAATGTACCAATGCCATCTCCCAGTGCAGAAATAATAAGCAAATGTGTGATTAGGTTTTAGATGATGGAAGGGATTAAAATGCTATGCTTTCAAACCATGGACACCAAATTTCTGTCAACCTGGAAATCTAGTGTCAGTTATGTCTTTTTTGGCTTTTGTTTTTCCATTTCTTTTTGTTTTTGTCTTGGTCCCGTACGGAGCCTCCCTAAGCAATGGCCACTTACATTTTAGCCTACCAAATATACTAAAATCCACTAATCCTCTAAAACACAGCAAAATAATCTTTGAATTTAAATAAGTTAAATTTCCAATGTAAGAAAAACTAGTGAATTTTCATTAAAACTGCTTAAGGGCTTCCCTGGTGGCACAGTGGTTGAGAGTTCGTCTGCTGATGCAGGGGACGCGGGTTTGTGCCCCGGTCCGGGAAGATCTCGCTGGGCCCGTGAGCCATGGCTGCTGAGCCTGCGCGTCTGGAGCCTGTGCTCCACAATGGGAGAGGCCACGACAGTGAGAGGCCCGCGTACCGCAAAAAAAAAACAAAACTGCTTAAATTCTCTCACAGAATCAAACACATCTAAATTGACATTTTCCTTTGTCCCAGCAACTCCATTTCTACAAATTTACCCTACAAATATACTTGGATAGATTATAAAATATTACATACAAAGTTATCCATTTAAAGCACTGTCTTTAATAGCAAAACACTGGAAATCATCTAAATGTCTATAATTAAGAACCTGGTTACTAAGCTAGGGCACCGCCATACAACGAAATCACATACAGCTACTTTACAACGTCAGGAAACTCTTTATGTTCTGATAAGAAAAGGTCTCCACCAAATAACTGTTTAGTACACGTACACACACACACAGTGTAAAACGGTGTAAGAATATATGTTCATATTCATTTGTATATGCACAGAAAATAGCTCACTTCTTCTGTATAAGAAACGAGTAACAGTGATTAACTGTCAAGGGGGAAATGCAGTGGATAAGAAACAGGAATAGGTCTTTCGTGGTATCTCTCTTTTACATTGTTTTAAAATTTTGAATTATGTGAATATTTTACCCTTCAAATTTTAAATCTTTAAACACTTTGGCAGAATTTTTTTTTAATATTGGAACAGAATAAAATAAGAATGTATACAGAGATTGCCATGTTTATATTTTGCGTCTTGGCTGAAAATCCAGAGCTTGACTCTCTCTTGATCATTCATTTAAGCTCTTCATTAAAATATTCTTCCACTGAAACTGTGATGAGGAATTTACCTGGACTGCCTATCCCACTTGAAGCAACAGACGTGTTTCTGGAAACTACATGCACAATATTTTATCTTGAGAATCCAATAATACTTCCAATGCAATGGGGTTCACATAGTGAGGGAGAGAGAAACAGGTATCTATCCAAAAAACACTGACTGAGGTCTGATACATTGGAGAAACTGTACTGGGTGCTGGGAAGAAAATACACAGAATCTGTGGCATGTAAACAAACGAATTTAATATAATGTACACAGTGTTGCAGAAAACGGACTAACAGCTTTGGAACTTGGAAAATTATTCAAAAAGGTAGCAAATGCGTGCTAAGTTCTTAAAGGATGAGGAACAGAGTTTGCCAGGCAAAGAGCCGATGAGTTCTTCAGTGAAGTAAAGTAACCCTGGGTAACACCAGTTCACATTCCCTCATCTGACCAGTTAGACAGTGCAGTTGATACATGGAGTTTTACTCCCCCCGCCCTTTTCCTCCTTTAACAGTACAAAATAGAATAAATCACACAAGTAATCATGACGAGCTCCTGCCACTGTAGAGCCAGTCAGTGAACAAGCTGAGACATGGACTCCATTTCCTCACCCCACATCCTGGGTTCCTGCAGAAAGAACCAGGGTGAGAAGAGGGGGTGGTTCTCTGCGCCCAACACAGAGGAGAAATGAGGACAAAAGCATGAATAGGCAGGCCAGGTTCTTAAGGTCAACACTGATATACTAAGGGTCCTGTAACAACAGGGAGATACTGAGAGCTGTCAGCTAAGGAGTGAGGTGATGGGCACCAGCCTCAAGGAAAGGGGGGCCTGAGCAGAAATGGAATGGATGGAGTGTGGAGAGAGAGCGCAGATGACATCACAGCTGGATGATAAGACAATCTGTCCCATGAACAGCGCATGAGGGATGGAACTAGAGGGTTTATTTCTATTTGGACAGAAAGCCATCAGAGAGGCAAACCCTTCGTATTCAGAGGAGGCATCAAGCCCACAGGACACCCGGGCTGGAGCAAACACACAGGCGTGCCTGCACACCTCTCCCCTCCCTTGCCCTCTACCCCTAACCTAATGCCCAGCTTTAGGCACGGCTTCTAAAGCACCAGCTCACCGAGGTTCAGGCCTCTGCACTTGTTCCCCAAGACTGGAACACTTCTGGGGACTTTTCCTGGAATAACAGCCTTCTCTTTGGTGCCTCTGCCTAGATTCCACTTCCTAGAAAGACAGTCTTTGAACTCCCAGACTAGTTACCCAAAACAACGCAGTATTCCAGCATGATACTCACCACAGGTGTTAACTTCCTACTAAATGTCTGTCTTCTCCAACAGGCTGCCAGTCCCCTCCCCACACTTAACTCCTTTCGTGGTCCTAACAAAGCTGGGAGGC